ATAACCTCATAACCATATATTTACAGAATATAAAAAAGCTTTGGTATTGTTTTCAGATTTCATAAAAAAAGTGTGCCTTTAAAGATAGCAGTCAATATTAATGAAATTACACAATAGTAACAATCTTTGTTTTACTCTAAAAATATGAGAACTTTTGTTGTTGGCTAGAATCCATTTTTACTAGTCAAGTAATACGTAAATGGCTAAATGCTACTAGTTAGTTGCCAAAAATTTAGATACTAATAGGAAAAATGCTTTTTGCAAGTTACTAAATTATATATTTACTTAAGAAAATACATTTTTCAATATTTTTTATTTTATTTTATTCCACCATCACACCTGTACTCTTTTGGAAAGAGTGTTCTTCTATCACTTTCAGTCATATTTTTTTTGGGTTAAGTTGCAAACTACTCACTTTCCAAAACTTAATTATGAAATAGGGCAGGTTACTATTTATAATTGGAGATTTAGCCACTTCCTTATGACCCCACAAATCAGAAAATCAATTATACCCCATGGTAACAACTTTATTTACCAACATGCCACTATTATGACATGTAGAAGAGAGGGTAAGAGAGAAATGTGGGTGAGATTTTTTATTTAATTTTCTTTTTCTTTCTTTACTACATTTCATTCTTTCAAAGATTAATAATTAAAATGTTCATTTGTAAATTTTATTTTTCTAAAATTGATCATATAAATAAAAATCTATGTTTTTTTATCTATCATTTGATATGCATTTTGTTTATTGATTTTTAATTTTTATATTACAGAACACTGTACATATAATAACTATACAAATATAGACCACTGTAACGATATAAACTACTGTACAGATATAGACCACTGTACAGAATGATGCATTTATAAAGAAAAAATATTAGTTCGTATAATAGTAAATTATGATTTCGTTAAACACATGCATCATTCTGTACAATGCTCTATATCTGTACAGTGGTGTATATCTGTACAATAGTCTACGTATGTACATTTGTCTATATATATACAGTAGTATATATCTAAGAAAATTTCAAAAACGTATTAGTTTCCGAACAAATATCTTTCTGTACAAATGCATCATTTTGTATTGTGGTTTATATCTGTAGAGTAATTGATATCTGTACAGTAGTGTATATCTGTACAGTGGTGTATATCTATGTAAATATTATTTGTATAGTATTCAATAGTATAAAATTTAAAAATCATTAAACAAAATGCATATTAAATGATAGAGAAAAAGACATAGATTTTTATTTATATGATCAATTTTAGAAAAATAAAATTTAAAACTAAGCATTTTAATTACTAAACTTTGAGGGAATGAAATATAATAAAGAAAGAAAATAAAAATTTTAAAAAAAAACTGACACACATCACACATCTCTCAGACGCTTTATCTATTCCTCTTTCTTTCTCTCCTCAGCCAAAGAGGTTCCTTGATAATTTTCAAAATTCTTCCACTATCCCACCTCTACTTCTATTAGGCGCAGCTTTATTACACAAAAAACTAACGTACATGTTTCCCCAATTATAAATAGTAACCTGACCTATTTTATAATTAAGTTCTGCAAAGTGACTAGTTTGCCAACACATCATTTATTAAATACTAAACTAAAAAATATTACAATCGTACATGTCGCGGGAACGCAGTCCCAGCCGCATCCTCTAACATAATTGAATGGACTATATCGGGACAAGAATACAAAGAAAGGAAACCTAACTGAAGTGAAAACGCATAGTTAGCTAATCCGTCAGGTAGACGATTAGCCACCTTATACACATGAGAAACCCGGACTAACCAGTCCTTTGAGAGGAAGCCATGGCACAAACGTACCAGGAATGCCAGCGGATGCGCCTCGCTCATCACTTTCAGTCATATTGAAAAACAAAGACATTTTTTTGTTCTTTCCTTTATTGATACACTAAATAAATTTCCCACTTTAATTAATAAACTAAATAATATGGATAAAATTAAGATATATTTATAAAATATTCAAATAAACTACGACACTTTGTTTTTGTGATTGTGAAACAAAATAAAGTAAGAAACATGCAAATATTAAAAGAAAATGCAAGTAACCAACGTTTCGTAACCAGAGAATCAGAGGTAAATAGGATTTGTTGTGGGTTTAATGGTTTTCAATTAGGTGAAAGATTACGTCGTGATATGAAGACGAGTTCGATCACGACCCTTGTAGTCAACACAACGACCTACTTCTTCAAAGATACTACCGAGCTAATCGACTTCAAGGTCCGTTTATATATGCTTCTAGTTAAAAATTGTAAATGGTGTGTTCCTTTGACTGAGTTAATCAACTATAGGGTTTACAAATATAAGTCTACTTTCAATTTTGTAGGAAAAACGGATTGACTTGTATGAGTATGCTCGTTATGGAAACCCAACAACTATGGCACTCGAAGAAAAGATTAGGTATATCTTTCTCTTGATGTCTTTGTTTACTGTCTCTCTATATCATGAGTTTTGTAAGTTGTTCCATTTTATGCTCAGTGTACTTGAAGGGGCTGAATCAACTTTGGTAATGGCATCGGGGATGTATGCAAGTAATGTTATGCTTTTGGCTTTGGTTCCTACAAATGGACATATTGTGGCAACTAAAGATTGTTACAAGGAGACAAGGATTTTCATGGAGAATTTTCTTACTAAACTGGGAATCACTGTAAGAAAATCTCAATTCATAACTTTCATTTTGTTTCCTTTCCAGCTCCATCGATTAACACTTTGTTATATATATGTGTGTGTGTGTGTGTGTGTTAATGTCTCCAGGTAACTTTTATTGACTCTGATGATATTGCGGGGCTCCAAACTCTTGTTAATAACCATGAGGTATTTTAAGTGATAATTATAAGTTCACTTAGTAACTTTAAAGCTGGTAAGCAATATATGAACTTGTGATCTTTTGTTTTTCAGGTTTCTTTGTTCTTTACCGAGTCCCCAACAAATCCATTTCTTCGATGTGTAGATATTAAGTTAGTTTCAAAAATCTGTCATAGAAGAGGAACTCTTGTTTGTATAGACGCTACCATTGCAACACCTATCAATCAAAAGACACTTGCTCTTGGTGCTGATCTTGTTCACCATTCTGCTACTAAGTACATTGGAGGCCACAACGATGTGCGTAAATCAGAATGTGTAACCTTATTATTCCTTGGAAAAATGGTTATCGAAGAATGATTTATTTGTTCCATGTGTCTTCTCAGTTTCTAGCTGGAAGCATATCCGGTTCAATGGAGTTGGTTTCCAAGATTCGCAATTTGCATAAGCTTTTGGGAGGCACGCTTAATCCGGTTAGAATGATTGATCCTCCTCGAATGATATGACTTTGTAAATGTGTTGAAATTTCAGTTTTTGTCGGTTTGGTTTTTTATTAGACAATTTTGGTTCACATTCTTCTTTTTAGATTTAGCTAGGATCGGTCCTATTATTCAACCTTTGGATAATTGGTTCTTTGTAAAAAGCAGAACGCTGCATATTTACTCATACGAGGCATGAAGACGATGCATCTTCGTGTAAGACAACAGAATTCAACCGGTATGAAGATGGCCCAAGTGTTAGAAGCACATCCCAAGGTACTATATTTTTCATCAAGATCCTTTCTTTCTTTTTGTTTACACATTAGTTATCTATTGGTACGTAAAATTGATAAAAGAGATAAGACAGATTTATGATTGAGTTTTTCGTTAATCACTCATAATCATTTACTTGTGGGCAAGATACATAAAAGAAGAAGAAGCTTACGAGGTTTCTTGCCAAGCAAGTAATAAAATGAAAACGACCTTAAAGAGAAACTAGAAGAAGATATTATTGAATTAATTTGGGATATATCTTACAAATGATCAAGAATCCCCTATTTATACATGCACGTAGACAATTAAGGATCAAACATATATAAAAACATCATAACGTTGCTTCATAATTTTCCTTTCAGTTTGAAATAGATCATCATATCTTATTAGAAAAGGGTTCAATATAATCGTGTTAGGTGAGTCGCGTTTACTATCTAGGCCTTCCGAGTCATCCCGAACATTTAATAGCCAAGCGACAAATGACTGGTATTGGTGGCCTGATCTCTTTCGAGGTAAGAAATAATAAAACTCCATCGATCCAAGAAACTATATTACTAATAATAATCTAAAGATGTCTTTGTTCTTTCACGAAAATAGATTGATGGAGATCTCAAGACTACAATCAAGTTCATCGATGCTCTGAAGATCCCTTACCTTGCAGCATCGTTTGGTGGATGCGAGAGCCTCGTGGACCAACTCGCCACAGGGATCTGGTATATATGATTTTCCACTAAAACATTGATAATTTTTTTAATTTCGGTTACATAATAAAAACGTATTTGGTGTTTGATTTAGGGATATACCACGAGAAGAAAGGCTTAAAGATGGATTCCAAGACAACTTAGTTCGCTTCAGTTTTGGTATTGAAGACTTTGAGGACATCAAGGCTGACGTTCTCCACGCTCTTGAAACCATCTGAACATGTTGGCTTTATTTTTATAAAACGAAGTTCCTTCTCTTTTATTGTGACAAAAGTTCTTTGAAATAAATAATTTACATAATAATAACAATCTCAATAAATATCTTTTGCAACTGTAAATCACAACCCTTAAGTAAATATAATTTTTAGTTACAACATATATCTTACAATTGGATTTTTCTTAGAAAGATGCAATCCGTATAAATATTTTTTACGATTATGTAACTCTTCATAAACAGTTGTAAATATTAAGTTGAACCATTGAAACTTTTAATATATTTTATGAATCCTTGTAACTTTTAATTATCTACAGTTTTATGATGCTTTTATATATGTGTGATCCTAACATACACGTAGACAAATTTTGTTTTATTTTATTTGGTTCAGATGATGGTAACTAAATGTATAAAGACAAACAACAAGCATTAGTCGTCTAGTGGTTGTATTGTAGCCTGCCACTTGACAGTCCAGGGTTCGATTCCCGGATGGTGCACATGAGCTGTGATGAAATTGGCTTCAGCGTTGGTTGGGTCCTTCGCATTATTCTGATTACTCAGATAAAATTGCCACACTTCTGAGCTCAATTTTTCTTTTAAAGAATTTATTTTCTTCCAAATTTCTTATAAAATATCTAAATCCCATAAAAGTTTGTCAAATTCAATAAATATTCGCTGAAACTATGTGCGAATGTTGCACACATAGTTACCGTAATTCAGGATCTTTATAAAGGCAGTAATCATATATATGAAAATTGGCCAACTCTCTCTATATGAGTGACAAATCATCACACTAGTGAGTGCCACATGTCATTCTAAATTAATATCATTAAAAAATAACTAAACTTAGTGATAAAAATTTAAAAGTTTCACAGTGCATTAAATCATCCATTAATCTCACTCTTTACAAAATATCTTCATTTAAAAAAAAAAATACAAAAAATCATGTTAATGTATCAAACTATTTTCATTTTACTTTTCTTATTTTGCTATTTTTATAATAGTCATTACTCGATAATGACTAGAAATTTTCGTGTATTACAACTTAATTGTTTGCTACTTAACCTTTTTTAGTTTAGTAATTTTAACTTAGCCTTTTTTTTTATTATATTTTTTGGTTTACATGATATGATATTTTTGTGTGTTTATGATAAATTAGTAACATTAATAATGACATGCATATTTTATGGGATGCATTTTATACTAGATGCAAAATGATACTATTGTACCCAATGTAAATAGATAAATGAATTTTGAGATGCAATAAAAGTTTGTTATCGCCAAAAAAAAAATTTCGTTATTCATAAAAAAAAACATTTCCAATAAAATCGACAAGTAGCATCGGTAACCCAAAACAAAAGAAAAACTCAACTGAAAAAATGAAGTCACTTAAATGGGCCAAGCCCAGTGTATGGATAGTTTCTAATGGGCTGGTCTGGGCTGGGCCAACGATACGTCATCACCTCGAAACCAATCCCGTCGCGGTGGTTCTTCTGCCATGGCGATCATGGCCGTTGCCGCTCTCTTTCACGCCCGCTTCCCTCTTCTCCTCCGTCGCAGTATCCCGTTACTGTCGGCTCCTACTTCTGTTATTTACAATCACAGAACTCTTCTATCCGATGGACTCAGTACTCGATTATGCTCGATTCTCCGTTATTCATCGTCTGACGGCGTCAACGGCGGAAGTAGCGGTGGTGATTTCGGTAACGATAACGATTCCGTTAGTGTTGTTTCGGATGTTCAGAGTCCTAATTACTTAAAATTCACCGATGAAGAATTGATGAAGCAATGTAGATTAGAGACATTTAGAGTTTCAGGACCTGGAGGACAACACCGGAACAAGCGTGACTCCGCCGTGCGTCTGAAACATCTCCCCACCGGAATCGTAGCTCAAGCCGTCGAAGATCGTTCACAGCACAAGAACCGTGCTTCTGCTCTAAACCGTCTTCGTACGCTTCTCGCCATTAAAGGTCTCAATCCCATTCTCTCTCAATTTCGTTCTTTTGAACTTTGAACTTTGAAAAATTGATTCTAGTTTTGCCTTTTTCCAGTGAGAAACAAAGTGGACATTGAAGCTTATGCTCCTCCTCCAGAGCTTCTTCAGATTCTACCTCCTAAGTCTACCATTAGAACTTCTTCTGGTTCACAGATTGGTCCCAACAATCCTAAATTTGTACCTGTATGTATCACTCTCTTTCTCCCTCTCTTTCTCTTAGCTGCTCATTTACTCAAGTACACACTTGTTTGTTGCCTACAGGGAATGCAAGCTTTGCTTGATGTTATTTCTGCTTCTGACGGTTCTATCGCTGATTCTGCCAAATTGCTGGGGTAACAAATCCTTCTTGAACCTGTGTATTTGTCTTTTGCTTAACTTTGACTTATCTTGTTATGTGGTTTTTCAGTTTGAGCACTGGTGGCTTATCTCGTTTGATACTCTCCCATGATGGTCTTCGTATGGCTGTCAATAGCATGAGAGCAGCCAAGGTACTGTTTGTTGATTACCAATCCAAATACTTTGTTATCAAGATTATGCCAATAAGGTAGTCATAGCTTAAAGTGTTTCTCCTTTTTCATTGAAAGGTCCTGCTTTTTAAATTGTTTAGGCTTTTATCTTGGGCAACGAAACAATCTGAAACCATGTTTACAATTTTTGTTTTAGTAGCTGTTGCTTAGTTTGGTATATCATCACTGTTGGAACTTTCAACATGCTAACTAGTTTCTAAAGAACTTTTTTCTCTGAGCTTTCAGGGAATAAAGCCTCTCAAATAGTTGGGATGTATCGGCATTTGAAAGATGACGTTCGGGCCTTCGACAAGTTGTATGTGGATTGCAGCACAGTGATTACCATTTTATGCACCATATTTTGTATACAAAAAAAAAGGTGAAATGTTGAGTTCAGTTTAACATTTGTTCTTCTAACATCATAAAAATAGTCACGTATTTGAGATGATATACTATAGGTTGTTCAAATGGTTACTGTTGTGATTGTTATTGGAAGCTAATACAGTTGGAAACATGGTGGATTATATTAATTATTCTTTCTGCTTTTGTTCTTGTTTTCTCTTCATTTAAGGAATTAAATTTCGCTGGTAGAGTACGTGGAAGTGGCAATCTGGTATGTTTTTGCATTTCAGAGCTTTTATGGTAGACTCTATAAGGGCTTGTACCTTGCATGCAAGTTTCGTTATCAATTGCTAGATACTTGCGGTGAGGGTATCTCCATTTTGGAGATATGAAAATTGCTTTGTGATATAGCAATGTAGAGTTGACTCTTGTTAATCAAACAACCCTAGTGCCTTTATGGCTTAGTATGCATCAGTTTCTTTTCTTTTCTTCTATTAGCCACAGACTACAGTGAGTGTATTTACACGTTTACAACACACTTAACATTTCAGTCAATAAAATGAAGAAGAACAGGTCAGTGCCTGCAGGAATGTTCTCAGGTATATTGGACATTGAAAATAGCAAAAGAGTTTGATGCAGGAGAATCAGATTCTTGTAGAATGAGGTTCTTTTCTTCCCCACACAGGAAAAGAAATAACTTTTATGGAGTTGACTCTTGAGAGAAATGTTGTTTATTCATTTTTATCTAGAAAACAACAGGAGTTAGAGCCTCGTGGGTGCATTCTGACTCACTCCTGATATATTTTAAACATGGATCTGAATTCTGAAGGTCTGCTCGAGAGTTCTTGACTTCTGACGAAGTGAACAACGACAATTCGCCTTCATTCCCTCTTATCTCTGCCTCTGGTATGAATCTTATGATTCTAACAACGGATTAGTATAGTGAATAATCAGCTTTGGTAATCATGTTGATGCCATAGTTACTCTGCTCTCAAAAAAGAAATGTTTGATGTTTTTCTGGACGTTCTATTTTAGTCATAAAGCACTAGCAGCATCTCTCTAAAGTGACTTTGACTTTCGTTAGGACTAGGCCCTGTTTAATATACACTATTTGCAAGGATAATTCCTTACTTTAAGTTTTAAAGAAAATATCTGATTCCTCACCACCATTTCTTGGGGTTTCTATTTCTTTTATTGGCAACTTTCTCCTCTTGGCCCTCATGTCTAATTGTATATATATAGACATCATTACAGAAACACTTTCTTATAAGATTTCCAACATCCAATAGTGTCATTTTTAGTCTGTAGATATCAATGAGGCTTGATTTATCTGCCAAGTTTCGGCAAGTTCTTGGTCTTGCCAAAGATCATGCATCTATTGGCAGAGCTATTGTACAAAACTACAATGAAAAAGCCTTTTTTGACATTGAAGTGGCAGTGGTTCGAGCCACTAGCCATGATGATTGTCCTGTTGATGATAAAACCATGCACGAGATACTCTTCCTTGTCTCTAACACACCGGGATCGATTCCTTTTCTTGCTGAACAGATCTCTCGCCGTCTAGCCAAGACAAGAGATTGCTTAGTCGCGGGTAAAACACTGTTACTCTTTCACCGTCTCTTGCGTGGTAGCAGTCGCAGTATCGAGCAGCAATTGCATATTGCACACACATCTGGTCATCTTCAAATAGGTTGCTCCTGGTTCATGATGAGCCTGGATTCTCGATCCTTTGTTTTTCTGCAGAACTATGTAGCTTATCTCCAAGAAAGAGTTGGATGGATCATCAACCAAGCTGGTAAGCTCGAACCCGTAATGTCTGGTGGTACAAAGTTTAGCCGTTACAAAGAGAAATCCATGGATCTGGTGTTCCACATCTTACCAAAGTGTCAAGAGTTTATTGCACAGGTGTTGAAGTGTTCACCAGTTGATGCCTGGCCTATCGATAATCTGGTTCAAGCAGCTACGGGCAACATCTTGAAAGAGAGTTTCCAAGTCTACATGACGTATTCCGATGGGATGACCGCGCTGGTTAGCATGCTCTTTGATCTTTCAAGACCCGCGAGAGATTTAGCTTGCGGAATGTTGAGAAAAGCTTCTCAACAGATTCAAGATCTTCGCATCCTGTATGACAAGTGTAGAGGATTCGCCGGGATGAAAAGCTTGGATTACCCATCTGTGCAAGCCATTTCTATGGATCATATAGTAGCACTAGAGGAATGCTCAAGCTATGGAGGCAAAAGAGGTTTCTCTCTTTCCACCAACCTAAGAGATGCAATCACCTGCAATGAACTAAAACAAGAACAGCATTCTGCCAGTTTTTCATCTACCAGTCCTTTCTCATTACCAGTGGAGACCAAAATTAGCATGGTTTGGGTTGTTTTTGACAATGAAGATGGTGAAGAATCAGACAAGCAAACAGAGAAAGCATATGAACGTTGATCATTCATCTCAACAGGAAGTGTCTGGAACGATTATATAATACTAATGTAGTGATGTTGTCAATTTACACGGGGTTTACCGGATTTTATACGATAATTTAGCGCATATTTAAGAATCCTCTCTGGGTTTATGCAGTGGTTTTGCTGCATATTTCCAGTGTCACAAGTGTTACGAGCATCTGAATTGTAAAACAAATGTCATAAGTACTTCAAACCATTGGTACACCTTCTGATTCTAAAAAATTGCCGCTCCATGGATCAACAGAAAGAGATTTGTTTTGTCTTTGAGTATTGTTTGGACCAC